CTGGTATCGCTATACTGCCTGATTCGCACTTCCTGCTTAGAATTGCTTTTGCTATTCTGGGTCTTTTATTTTTCCATATGAATTTCATGATTGCTTTATCCATTTCTACAAGAAATGCCGTTGGGATTTTGATTGGCATTGCATTAAACCTATAGAGAACTTTTGGTAATATCGCCATTTTGATGATGTTAGTTCTGCCTATCCATGAACCGGGTATATTTTTCCATCTTCTAAGATCTTCTTCTACTTCTCTTTTTAGGGTTTTGTAGTTTTCATTATATAAATCTTTCACCTCTTTTGTTAGGTTGATTCCCAAGTATTTTATTTTTTTTTTTTTGAGGATATTGTGAATGGAGTGTTTTTCCTCATTTCCGTTTCAGAAGTTTTGTCGCTGATATACAGAAATGCCTTTGATTTATGCGTGTTGATTTTATATCCTGCCACTTTGCTGAATTCATTTATTAGTTCTAGTAGTTTTTTTGTAGACCCTTTTGGGTCTTCTAGGTATAGAATCATGTCATCTGCAAATAGTGATAATTTAAGTTCTTCCTTTCCTATTTTTATGCCTTTAATTTCTTTTGTCTAATTGCTCTGGCCAGTGTTTCGAGAACTATATTGAATAGAAGTGGTGATAGAGGGCATCCCTGTCAAGACCTGAACAGACACTTCTCAGAGGAGGACATACAATCAATCAACAAGTACATGAAAAAATGCTCACCATCTCTAGCAGTCAGAGAAATGCAAATCAAAACCACCCTAAGATACCATCTCACTCCAGTAAGATTGGCAGCCATTATGAAGTCAAACAACAACAAGTGCTGGAGAGGATGTGGGGAAAAGGGTACTCTTGTACATTGCTGGTGGGACTGCAAACTGGTGCGGCCAATCTGGAAAGCAGTATGGAGATTCCTGGGAAAGCTGGGAATGGAACCACCATTTGACCCAGCTATTGCCCTTCTTGGACTTTTCTCTGAAGACCTTAAAAGAGCGTACTACAGGGATACTGCTACATCGATGTTCATAGCAGCACAATTCACAATTGCTAGACTGTGGAACCAACCCAGATGCCCTTCAATAGATGAATGGATAAAAAAATGTGGCATTTATACACCATGGAGTATTACGCAGCACTAAAAAATGACAAAATCATAGAATTTGCAGGGAAATGGATGGCACTAGAGCAGATTATGCTTAGTGAAGCTAGCCAATCCCTAAAAAACAAATACCAAATGTCTTCTTTGATATAATGAGAGCAACTAAGAACAGAGCAGGGAGGAAGAGCAGGAAGAAAAGATTAACATTAAACAGATACATGAGGTGGGATGGAAAGGGAGAGAAAAGGGAAATTGCATGGTAATGGAGGGAGACCCTCATTGTTATACAAAATTACATATAAGAGGTTGTGAGGGGAATGGGAAAATAAGCAAGGAGAGATATGAATTACAGTGGATGGGGTAGAGAGAGAAGATGGGAGGGGAGGGAGGGGGGATGGTAGAGGATAGGAAAGGTAGCAGAATACAACAGTTACTAATAGGGCATTATGTAAAAATGTGGATGTGTAACCGATGTGATTCTGCAATTTGTATTTGGGGTAAAATTGGGAGTTCATAACCAACTTGAACCTAATGTATGAAATATGATATGTCAAGAGCTTTATAATGTTTTGAACAACCAATAAAAAAATTTAAAAAAAATATATACCCTTCAAGGGCATACCTCCAATAACCTCATATCCTCAATTTAGGAAGCCCCACTTCCCAATGACAACATCAGCTAGGGACCAAGCCTTCAACACATATGTTTCAAGATTCAATTGATAATATACATCCCCAATAGAACAGTTTATATTTCCAGTATGAATACTTCAAGCATTTTCAAATGAAATGGCTGATTCTCAAAACTTTGTGCCTAAACTCTAAGCAGCTAAATACTGTTTCCAAGTTGAAAGAAAGAGTGAAGAGATTTTTTTTAAGTTCAAATTGATATTACTTTATATTTAAAATGAAAATCTATATTGTTACTACTTTCCTAGTAACTTTATTGTGAATGTGAATAATACTTAATTCCCCAATCTTAGTATAGTGAAAAATCTGGCCTTTTCATGACTTTTTGTAATATTGATCATTATTTTTCTATGATGCTAACATCAAATCTAGAACATTTTCTTTCCACTTAGACAATCAAAATAATCACTTCTCAGTATTAACTCCTAAACTATTGCCCACAGCAATGTCCTGCGAGTGAGATGGGCAAATGGTCATGTTCAATTCATCTCTTATCATCAGTATGACAAAAATCAGTTTTTAAGATCAACAGGTACAACAATATCAAAGAGGTTCATGGCTGGAGAATTTTTTTAAGGATGCTCATAATATCTTTTTTGTGTCTTAAACATTTAGTTATATTAGGAGCATAAGATATTCTGTGTTTGCTATGCAAAATAAGTGTCTTTTATGATAAGGTTGCACTAAAAATACCTTGTAATTCTAAGTATGTTCATATAGATATTGACTTTCAAATATACTACACTTCCATTTTGTGTGTACATCTTTTGATGTAGGGTGTGCTAAAACAGAGATCCAAGAACTATTTATCATAGTGAAATTCCCTTTTCACATTTCTCAAAAGACGTTTACATGTAAATTTGTTATTTGCTTCTTATATTCAAAGCAGAGTTGATAATATTTTAGTTATTGTCAACTTCATTTTACTTTGATTCTAGATATTTTTAAATCTTATATAGTACTAACAATCTATGATTAACAAACTAGTATTAACAAACTATGATAACTTCTAAATTAATTTGTAAAAATCAGATGTGCTACTTATTCATTTCTTGCAAATTGTACTAACAACATTACATTAGATTTTTCATGAAGATGCCTTCACATTTGAATCCTTGATGACAAATTACAATATAATTTAGTAGTTTTACTCACTGACCACCTAGTTTCTGGGAAGGAATTGCTAAGACTCAGGCAACTACAGCAGCTGAGTTTGTCCATTGCAAAGTTGTAATGCACTAATTTGTCTTTATAATCAATGATGTGTTTTTGTGTTTCACTTCAGTTCATAAATACTGCCTGATGGCCCTGCACACACTAGTTCCTTGGACATGTTTTTGATTGTGAGGGCTGCCAGGGAATTCAATCATTCCAGTTATTGTTTTTTGATTTTTGTTTTTCCACTTGCTCAGATAAATTCTACTGGATTTAACTTATCTAAAGTTTTTTTTCCATTAGATATAGGATAAAAACTAAGAATTGATTTATCTTAAAATAATTATGAGAGCTTGATTTATGTTTATTTATTTACATCTTTTTAAAATTTTTTATTTAACTAGTTATACATGACAGTAGAATGCATTTATGCACTTTGATATGTCATATATAGATATAATTTCTCATTTTTCTGAGTGTACATGTTGCAGAATCACATTGGTCATGCAGTCACATGTAAATATACAGTAATAATGTCTGTTTCATTCTACTATCTTTCCTAACCCCACACCCCCTCCCCTTCTCTCCCATCACTTCCCTCTACCTAATCTAAGGTAATGCTATTCTTCCATAGTGCCCCCTCTTATTGTGAATTAGCATCTGAGAAAACATTTGGCCTTTAGTTTTGTGGGATTGGCTTATTTCGCTTAGCATGATATTCTCCAACTCCAACCATTTACTGGTAAATTCCATAATTTTACTCTTCTTTAAAGCTGAGTAATATTCCATTGAGTATATATACCACATTTTCTTTATCCATTCATCTATTGAGGGACACCTAGGTTGGTTCCATAGTCTAGCTATTGTGAATTGAGCTGCTATAAACATTGATGTGGCTGCGTCACAATAGTATGCTGATTTTAAGTCCTTTGTGTATAAACCAAGAAGTGTGATAGCTGGGTCAAATGGTGGTTCCATTCCAAGTTTTTTGAGGAATATCCATACTGCTTTTCATAGTGGTTGCACCAATTGGCAGTCCCACCAGCAATGTATGAATGTTTTATTTACATCTCTAAGATATATAGACTGGGGAGCTGACCAGAGTTGGCACTGCTTAAACAGCCCTGCACTCAGCTGTGGGCCAAGCACAAAACCACCCTCTGGGTGAGTCTCTGGTTTGCTAAGATAAAATTCCCCCACTCAATCCCATGCCACTCCAGTAGTTAGGATTCCGCTCTCGCATAATATTTCAGCTCATCATTGCTGTAGGGCAAGGACATACTGGCCAAGGAAGGGTCTATACTTTAGACTCTCCTGGAGGGTTGGACGGCTGCCGTGGCCTCTGTTGGTCAGAGTACAGAGGCCTGGCCACAGTGATCGTTTTCAGCCAGTGGCATACCTGCTCACCCAGGAAACTAGCTGGCCTCCTCCTCCCCAGATCTCACTTTGTTTTTTCAGGATCCAGGAGGATAGAAGCCAGAGCACACCTCCTGAGGATGCTGCTGACCGTGCCCAGGACTACTGGCCTGAAACCTACCACCCAGCCTGGCAGTGGCTCCCAAAGCCTAGGAGCCCTCTCCCCTCCACAGGCACAGAGAAACACTTTCTGACCCCCATCTCCAGGGATTGAGGTTATGGCCAACTTTGGCAAAAGCTGTAAACTGGAATTAGACGATAGAATATGATTCTGTTGCAGAGCCCCATCCCTGTCCACTAGTGGCCTGCATGACCAGGTAACACCTTCCAACCCCAATACTGTCCTTACCCCCTGGTCTGTTCACTGACCTAACTAGTCTGTCCTCCAGGGAGGTGCAAGCTGATCTTTTCTGGAATAAGGGGACAGATGGCCCAGAATCATGGAACTGGCAACCCCATCTAGTGGCCAAAACCTGGCCAGAAGTGGAGGGACAAGGAGGAGAACCAATGGGGCCAGCACATGGAAAGAATCACAATTCCCCTCCCATCATGCACTGCCTAGCTACTGGTGGCAGTGAAAAAAGGGGTGTCCTTGTGAGCATATACACATGTGGGAGCCTTGCCCCTGGGAGCAGACATTTCCCAGACCCCCACTCCCATTCCCTACCTTGCAGTTACACATAGGAGGCTGAGGTGGTAGAGCTCAGGCTACCAAAAAAACTGAAAGATCTACAAGGGAATGAGCTCTGAGCTGTACCACCTCTCTTTGCTGGTCTTGTCTGTACTTCAAGGGCTGCAGGTTGTCTCCTACCCAGGCTCAGGGTGCCCTCCTTCAACCTCACTATCTTCACCTGCCCAAGAGAATCAATAATGGCAGGTTTCTCTCCAGGATTAGTCTGGATAATCCTAGTTAGCCCTCAATAATGTTCCAACTGCCATCACGAGCATTGCTTACATTGTTTTTTTTTTTTTTTTCACTGTTTCATCTCCTGGTTTTATTAACTAGCTACAAGCACCAAGGTGACAGAGGTAGTCACATTCCCCAATATTTTAGCTTAAGAGGTGTGATTATCATAACCTAGCTAAGTACCAACTACATAATTTAACTTATTCTTTTCCAAAGAATTCTGTTTTCAGGGTACCTGAAGTATGACATCAACAGGATTTACAATTAGATATAGATTTTGAGATTAGGACCTATTTTTCCTTCCAAGCCACTTCTAATCACTGTCAATACACATATGATAAAACCAAATTGTTTTTACAAAAACACGTCCCTTCCAAAACCAAACAGTCATACTAATATCAATATCCTCATTTAGTATTAGTTATGTAAAACAATACCATTTAAGGGAAACTGGGTAAAGAATATTCAAAATGTATTATTTTGCCAATTTCTTGTGAGACTATAATTAGTGTTTTACTTTATTTTTGGTAATGGAGTTTGAATCCAAGGCCTCACTCACACTGCCAGTGCTCTACCACTGAGCAACATCTCCAGCCCTTTTTATTTGAATATGGTGTTATTAAGCTGCCCAGGCTGGTTTCAAACTTGCAATCTTCCTGCTTTAGCCTCTAGAGTAGCTCATATTACAGGTGTGTACCACCACAGCTGGCTCAACGAATTTTAAAAATCTAAACAAACATGTTACTCATAAAAGAACAAGAGGAGCTGGGCATGGTGGCACACCCCTTTAATCCCAGCAGCTTGGGAGGCTGAGACAGGAGAATCGTGAGTTCAAAGCTAGCCTCAGCAATGACAATTCACTATGCAACTCTGTAAGACCCTGTCTCTAAATAAAATACAAAATAGGGCTGGGGATGTGGCTCAGTGGCCAAGTGCCCCTGAGTTCAGTCCCCAGTACCCCCCCCCCAAAGAAAAAGAACAAGAGGAGGAAAACACACAAAGAAATAAAGCAAAATATGCATGCTCTTGGAAGAGAGTTTGGGAGTCACCTGACCAATGTAGTACCTCTGTCAAGGGACTTGTGTCACACAGTGAAAAAGGATGAAGTTATTTTTCTTTTGTTTTTGTGGTAGTGGGGATCAAACCTAGGGCTTTAGGGATGCCAGGGACAAGTGCTTTACCACTTGAGCTACTACATTCCCAGCCTAAAAAGACTTATGTAAAAGGCTCATTACTAGCTCTGGCAGTGATAAACATTAGTCAACTCTGCTCTACCCAATTCCTAGACCAAAAAGACTGTGAACTATCTTCACTAATAAGGAACAAAGAGATAGGGAGTATGGCTCTCCAAACTTGTTTTCAACAACAGCAGTTAGAGAACAGTGCATATAATTTACGTCTCACTCTCATCATTCCACAGTCTGCCAGGGCTCAGACCCCAGTCAGGCCTCAAGCTCTTACTGGGTTTCATCTTGCGACCTGCGACTGCACTAGCCAGTAGGCCTGGCTCAGGACAAGCCTGTCCTTTTTCTCCTTTTGCAACACCTGCTCCTCCCACAGCGCCTGGTCCACCTGATCGTCGGTGAGCACAACAGGCTTGTACTTCTCATCGAAGAGCCGCTCATTGGCCTCGGAGTGCAGCTGGTGGGATCCGGCCACGCGCAAATGTGCCGGCAGGTGCAGGAACTTGTGATCGTTGATGTCGCAGTCACGCATCCGGGTGCTCAGTATCCACCAGTGGCCCACGAAGCCCACATCCAGGATTCGGCCGGGGAAGTCGACCCAGCGGGGCTGCAGGTAGCGGCAGCGGGCCTGGTAGAGGCTGGCCTGGGAGTCGAAGGGCGCCTCGTACACGAGCGAGCAGAACCCCAGATTCACGTGGCGCAGACGACCGCGACCCCGCAGCCAAAGGAGCCGCTGCAGGAAGCTTTCGGAATCGCGGTTGCGAGTGGCTGGCGCTAGCAGCAGGAGAGTCCCAGACGCATCGAGGAGCGCCTCCTCGAAGGCCTCCTCTCTCGGCGCCAGAGCGCAGCAGGCTGTGGCGCTGCCCAGCAGCCCCAAGTACACTGCTGCGCGCCCCGGCCGAGCCCGCGCCGCAGCCACCGCGTCCCGGCAAGCCTCTGCGTAGTCCCAGAGCAGCGCGCGGGCCCAGTCGCCCAGCCGCGCCCACACGCTTGGCTTCACCGCCACGGCAGCATTTCCAGCCTCAACGCCCCCTTCTCCGCGGCCTGGGGACCAAAATCCGCTTACATTGTTAAGAACTTTTCAGGAAGCACTCCTGCAATCCCAGTGGCAAAGCCAGCCTCAGCACCTTAGAGATGCCATAAGCAACATAGAGAGAACTTGTCACAAAGTAAAAAATAAAACACAGTCTGGGGGATGTGACTCAGTGGTGAAGGGCCAATTGCGGCAATACCTGATACAAAAACAAACAGATGAACAAAAACCCTTTGCACAATTTCTACAGTAAGGTGTTAGGTGGGAGACTTTTATTTGGCTTCAGGTTCAGGTGGGGTTCCTCTTCTTCATAGGCTATGTTAACCCACTACCTAACAGCACCTCCCACAAGCCAGATTCACAAAGCTTCAATGGCCAAAACCAGGTGTTTGGAGATCAAACCTGAGGAGCGCATTTCATTACAAAGCCAAAATTCCAGGAAGTAGCCACATTTAGAAATGAGCCTGAATTTCATCCCTGTTATTTGGAATAAACCCCAAGGATTTGATAATGAATGGTTGGTCTACTTCCATTCCACCTCAGATTCCCCAGGGCATTGAGGACCTCAAGTATGATGATGTGAACTTGGAACAAGGTTCTCCAGTTCAAGGACTTGGCCTTCCACAGCAGTGGCCTGACTATGGCTGATGGATGTCTTCTCTGGGCAAGAGAGTCAGGACAGGAGCCTTTTGCCCTACTTGCATGGGCTTCAGCCACATTACAGTGGGTACCTGACTTACATGGCCCCCAGGCATGCAGGGTGGGATTTTATCTTGTGCCACATGATCATTGAACAGCAAAGACAGAGAGACACTAAGCCCAATGCAGCACCTCCAAGAGGTAGCACCTCTTGGGCTTCAGCAGTGGGCAGTTCTTGGCATGCATTGCTCAGGAAAGCTCAGCATCCTGTTGGGTGAGCACAACATTGGAAGTAGAAGGTATTGGCAGATATAAAAATAGGTAATGTGAGGGGCATTCTCTGACCTCTGTGAGCTCCAGTATCTGTGTGGGTGTCAGTAGAATCCCCCTTTTGTAGACCAAGAAATAAATCCATCTTTGGGGGAGCAGTGTGTGAGCACATCGTGTAACCTGCATTGTGAAACCTACATTGTGTAGCCTGTGGCTGTTGCACGAGAGGATTTTGCTCTTCTGCCCACTACCATGTCCCAAATGCAAGCCTAATCCTGGCTCTCAGTATGTCCAGGTATGTCCAGTCTCATACTCTCCTTCCCTTGATGTCCTCTTCCCTGACTCCACTGCCTGGTGGCCCTCAAGCTCACCTGGGACCTAGCATGGGATCACAGGAGGTAGAGACTGCTGACTGTCATTACTTGAGGTCCCAGGAACCCTGTCCTCTGCTGGCACCTAGTGGGCAACTTGAGTTCCAAGGTCTTGGGTCAGACAAATGCAGGGTCTCTTTTCCTTCCTGCTCCCCTCCCCTACCTCTCTGCTTATTCTCTCCTCCTCCCTTCCACTCCACCCAGGCTGCCATCTACCAGATGTGGCTGGCCTGGGGGCTGGACTGTCTCACTCCCTATCTGTCTGTAACCAGGAAAAGCCAGTCATCATGGGGATGGCTAGACCTGATGGTGTTGCCAAGACCAATCTGATAGCAAGAGGGCAATAGGTCTTAGGAAAGGGCCTAGGGCTGAGTCTATTAAGACCCACAGGACATGGTAGTCTGAAGTAGAGGGCTAAGTGACCCTTTGACTACAGGAACCATAGGAACTGCTTCTAAACTGTGGATCCCTGAGGGATGCAGACGCCTGTTGCAGCAGAAGGAACCAGGGTGGGTCCACTTGGCTGGCAGTATCCGGGTGGGCACTGGGTACATAGGGCTGGTTAGTGGGAATGGGGACCATTGGGTCTGACATGGATATAAGAATCTAGTTTGGCTAGATGGGGCAGCAGGGGCCTCAAATCTAGCTAATACATTGGCAGCCCTCCTGGGTTTGGGGATGGCAATGTGTGTAGGGGACCACTGACACTTATCCCAGGACTGAAGCAAATCTAGCCTCCTGTGCCAGTCATTTTTGGCACTGGAAGGGTGTCCTAGGGTTTTATGGTCCATGCCATTGGTTGTGTGTCCCTGAGATCCAGACTTAGGCCCCATAGGATCTGGGAAGCTTTTAAACAGGAAGGTAGCCCAGGGCCAACATTTATATATGTGGACATGGAGATGCTCTGCTGACCCAACTTCTCAGATTTCAGGGAGAGGCAGCCATGGTTTTCATAGCATTCTTTCTCCCACACACCCAAGACCTCTCCCACTGTTGCAGTTATCATTTCCTGGTGTCTGAAGACAAGTCATTATAAGGCTCTCTGTCTTCTCATATGGGCTGACCTCCTGTTACCAGAATCACCTTCCTCTCACACATTTCATTGCTGTAGCCCAAGGGACCAAGGAAGCTGCAAAGACAGGGTATGGCCAGGGTGAGTGGATCCCCTATATGCAGAAGGGGCAGCTTTGTTCTGAGAGGCCACAGAGGGATGGGAGGCATCCTTACATTTTCTCTCTAAACCACCTTGATTTTCTAGAAAGAATATCTGCCTTGAAGGGCCAGGATTCAGCTCACATTTGGATAGAGACCTTCCTATCAACCTGGAGTTCCAGACAGAGGAGGAAAGAGATTGACAAGCACTAGGTGGGCTAGGTGATGTCAATAGCTTGTCTGAACACTGTCCTGGGGTACTTGATGGGCGGGTTCAAGGTGAGAGGCAGGGCTCCTGGGTAGCAACAGGGTCTCCTCCACATGCTGATGCTATGCTGGCAGCTGAAGGGATAGACAGAGCACTAAGGATGATAAATGCCCTAACCATAGAGGTAGGATCTTGAGGGTCACAAGGGCCTCCTGGGCTCATTGGCCACTCACATGTCTTAAATAGAGACTGAATGCTATGTTATTTTCCAGGTCCCAATATATACATGTTCCCATATCCACCACCCAGTAATGATGACCAGAAGTGACATAGTTAGCCCAAGACACACAATGCATAGCTCAGATTCTCAGGCAGTATTGGCCCGTGCTGTTTGATGGGAGAATACATTCCATACCATGGTGAAGATGAGGCCTTCAACTAAAAGCATGGGTTCAAATTTTGGGGATAAGAGAAATGGGCTTAGAAATTATTAGTCAATCCAAGTGTGGTGGTGCATTCTTGTAATCCCAGCAATTCAGGGGCTGAGTCGGGTAGTTGGTGAGTTCTAGGGCAGCATTCCCAAAATAGTGAGACCCTGTCTGAAAATGAAAACTAAAAATACTTCTGTGCAGCTTAGTGGAAGAGCACCTTTGGATCAATCTTCTGCACACACACACAAAAAAGTTAATATTCCTGACCTTTGCATAAAGGTCCGTCGCCACACATAACAATAAACACACGCTACTTCTTTCTCTGACATCTAATCAGAAAGCAAGAAAAATGACAGAGACAGAAGAACTGGAAACAATAAGTATTAATTTATGTATATTCGAGGAGCAAGGGAAAGACCATGAAGGCAAATGTGTGAGGGAATAGGAAGCCCTTCCAGCTAGCAATGAACATCCTAGCCAGGTTGAAGTCCAGAAAACTTCCCAGGGCTCAGATCAATGAGGTAACCATCAAGACAGAGAGTGGGTTTTGTAGGGATGTCAAGCCAGGCATCCATGAAGATATCCTCTGTGCTACACAGTAGGTGCTTCTGATCCACAGTTGCAGGCTTGGACCCCATGTCTGGAATGGGCATTCCAAAACAGCTTTCCCTCCAGTTCTAGCAGTGCAGGCTTGAGAAGGGAGCTGGCAAATTGTGAAACATTGTCTCATATCCAGCCCACCCATAAGCAAGTTCAAGCCAGTCCTGGAGGCTGTGAAACTCTGTACTGCATCATAGGAAAGCCTGGCCAGTTGTTGAGTGATGTGCCCAAGGGGATGAGGGGTGACATCATACCCACAAGACCAGGCAGCCCATTGCTGCCACTGAGCATTGAGGTGTTGGTGAGTTTAATCCCATAGTTTGGGCTTAGCTTCCAGGGTAGGTTACCCAATATGAATGTGTTGGGCTGTAGCTTCCCACCAGGACCCCTACACATGGACTGAGAGGTGTCTCTAGAACTGCTGGGAATCTCTAGACTTGCACTGGGTCCCTGTTCCTGCTATGTACCCTAAGTGGTGGAGACTAGTCCAGGCAATGCTGCCACTCTGATGGAGGTTCCCAGAATCAGGAAGCAACCCTTACTATGGTCTAAAGTTTTTCTGGGAGGCAGGAGGGGACTGTGAGAGAATAGTTCAAGGAGGTGGTGTGGTATCCATAGGTTCTTCTGGTGCTGCAGGCTTTGACAATGATGGCGGAGATGCTGTGTGCCAGGAGGGAGGCCAGTGCATGGTCCATAACTGGGATCACTATAAGCAGGGCAGCATTCCGAAGGCAAGTTCTCTATTGCTCCCCAGGAGAGCTCCCAGATGAGGGCTGAGGAGTGATTAATGGGACAAAAGCCTGGTTCAAATGGGGGTTGTGGTGGGAGACCTGAGGTTTTGGGGGCCAATGGAGAATGATGCCTTTGCTGGCTGCCTGTGCTGACCAGGGCCATGGACCTGGGGGCATGGACTGGAGCTGTCCTTGGAGGCAGGTGGAGATGGAAATGTCACTGTCATAAAAGGGGGAGTAGTGTCAATGGCCATGTCCTCAGGCTGCACAATGGGATGGTGAGTCAGGTGAGCAGAGGACTTGGCTGTGTTGGTGGGAGAGATACTTGCAGTAGTTAAGTTCTGGCCATGGCTATTGGGGTTGCAGTTGGAAGGGACTAGAGTGGGCCTTGGAAACGAATGAAGAGAAGGAGGAGAATCAAAGCACATGGGGGTTGGGGATTTCTTTCTGCAGGGGGTAGGCTAGGAGGGGAAAGGGAACTGGATATGAGGTGTGGGAGGTGAAAAATGGGAAGTGCCACAGCTCTTCCCAGTGAAACAAAGTAGGGGTAACTCCCACATTGGGACTGGGCCTCATGGAAAAACAGGATTAATGGGGTGAAGCAGAGGAAGAGAACAAGGGATTCCCTACTCACCATTACTTGGCAATGGGGAAGGCAGATGGACAGATAGGTTTAGGGAATTCCCACTAATTGCTAGCAGGTATATCTGGGGAGTGGGAAGAGTCTGGGAGTGGGATCAGTGTGTCTGTAGTCTCACTATGGGCCCCAGGTAGAGAGCAAGAATGGACAGGCAAAGTAGTTTTGCTGGCCTCCTCAGCTTCTCTTCTCTCCTCCAAGGCCCTATCCTTCAAATTCTTCTTCTTTGCACCTGGAACCTCCCTTAGCAGGGTGCCTATGTCTTCCTCCAGACACAGAAAAGGCTTGTTAGCAGGTGGCGGCAGACCATCTTGATAGCATGGCAGCCACAGTGGCAGGGCCATAGGCACTAGCTTCTTTCTCTTTTGGGGCCTCCAGGTAGAAGCTCTTGGTGGAGGACAGCTCTCTGATGGACCACAGGAATGCTTTTTCCCACTCACCCCCTTGCTTGAGCCCTGGGAGCCTGGAGAGCTGGGCAGATGGTGTTTCTCCAGCCTTTCTTTGGCCCACTTGTCTGGAAGTGAGGAGCAGCCAGGGTCTGGCTCTGGCAGCACTGCTGCTTCTGCATCAGCCTGAGCCATGGGCAGCCCCCCAGCAGAAGGTCTATGGGGGCTGCCAATGACAGGTCCCCTACAAGGGAAGATCTTGGGAAGGTTCTGGGCCTTCTTTTGAAAGGTGATTTCTTCCCCAGACACAGGATTGGGTTCCATATAATTGAGGTCTACCTGGTCTCCAGAAGCTTTACTGATGTTGATTTCTCTATTCTTAGGGCACCCAGTCCCAGATCCTCCTGCTTGTCTATCCCTTGGGGCCCCTCCTCCTCCTCCTGGTGGACCACTGATTCTTCAGGCTGCTCTTGGACTGTCATCTCTGTTGAGCAGGTGTCATGATCTGCACAGCCCAATGGACTTGCTCAACTGGTGAAGGCAGTAGTACTGGTCTGCAATAAGGAGGAGGGATCCTTACTGTTCTGGATGGTCCAAATATACACCAGTTGGTGTAGGACAGTACTGGCTTTATCAGGGTGGCACCCAGGAGATTGCTGGCAGGATCCCCTGAGAGGAGGGCAGCACCTGCTGTAGAGGGCCTCTGAAGCAGACAGCTGATCCAGACATATGAGGACGGCGATCCCGGCAGAAGTGCCTGGAGCAGGGCTGATGACAGCTACTGGAGCAGCAGGGTGATCCCGCTGAGAAGCGGGAGCATTGCGGGTCAGGTGGATGGGAGCCCGATGGGCCAAAAGGGCCAGGTGGTTCAGCCCACAGCCACGCTTGCTCAGAAAATTGACCATTCATATCACCTGGTGAGGTCTGACTGGTCACCAGTGACAAGAACAAAGGAGCTGGGCTGGGACACCAGCTCCTCTTGTGACCAAAGGTGCACTGTGGAGTTCACCTCTTGTGACATCTGCCTGGAACGCATGATGGAGCATGGGTATGTGACCATGCCAAGTTCGTCAGAGGAAAGCCCCCAGGATAAGGAGCAAGGCCCAATGTCCACCGCTAGTCTGAGTTTAGAGCTCCTCGGGACTCTGTGATGCTTCTTTTCCCACCAAATGATTCTCATCTCTTCAGAGTGTCATCTGGGGCTGCTTTCCTATTGGTTATTTAGACATCCATACCACATGACTCCAAATAATACCTGTATGGATTCTGCTTGACATGACTGAAGTCATCTGGACTCATAAATTACCCATCAAAACTACCATCAATTACCCCAGAACAGCTCTACTCAGGTATTCCTCAATAATTTCCAGCATGCCATAATTTTATAGAACCATTAGAATGGTCTGTATAGCTTCAAAAATATGTACATTTTGAAGTCCCTTTTATTCTAACCAATATGTATATACATATCTGTCTTTCTGAACCACATTGATGGGATCCAGTATTCTTGCGGTTGCCTAGGACAGAGGTCTCAATCCATGTTAGGCTGGCTGCAATGCTCTGGGCCCAAGGTGATGCAGAATACCTCATGTTTCACAGGTCTCAGTCTTTGGGCAGCCAACGCCCTTGCTCTAGGCGTGAGGTGAAGCAGAACATCATGGAAGAAGGACATTTTGCAGGAAGCTTCTCAACTCATGACTGCTATGAAACAGAGAAAAAGAAGGACCAAGTGACAAAATATAATCTGCAAGGAGGTGCTCCCAGTGACCTACTATTTCCAGGCTTAACCCACCTTCCCCATTTAACACCCAATATAGTAGTACTTTCAAATTATTGATCCACCCAATGGATTATTCATAGATTAGGAGACCAATCTCATAATCTAATAATTTCACCTCTGAACATTCCTACATTACCTCACTGTGGAACAGTCCACAGTCAGCTTTTAAGGTACACTAAGGTACACCTATCTCCAAAATTTCACGTGCCATCCATGACCCCCAAAAAGCCTATGAACATCGCACCATGAAAAATACATTCAGCGCATCTCCAGGATATACCTAAATCTGAACAGTTTCGGCACTGTCCAAAACTCAAAGTCTAACATCTCTTCTGGGACTCAAATTAAACTCTTGGTTGTCAACCCTTGTAGGAATCAAAATCAACTCATGTATATCTAATAATATACAGTGGCACAGAATAAATATTTCCATGACAAAAGGGAGAAATAAGAGATGGCTATGAACCAAGACTGAAATCCATCTGGGCCAACAAGTCCTCTATCTCCTTGGCTCAGCATTTGGAGCACATATTTTGCACAATGGGCTCCAAAGGACTTGTGCAGCCTTGTCCCTTGGCCTCTCATTAGACTGGCTCTATCCTCAGCCAGCAACATCCCCTGACATATATTCCACATTCCCAGCATTTCTTAATCCCAGGGGTCTCTACTGCAGTTTTAGCTTCCTTCTCACAGCTACACACATAACCCTCTCAGGAACTACCTACATGAATTCTCACTTCATTATACTTTGACCTGCCAGACCTCCCTTTGAAATCTTGTTGGGTTGGAAGCCTCCATGACCACCTAACTCCAGCATACTCCATTTCTGCAGAACTGGTATCATGGGGTTGAAGCCAATGTCTGCCACCATCTCAAGTAGTAGCCAAGACTTTGGGGACCATGGCTGCTGGAGCCTTTGAGTGGCTGGTTGAGCATGGAGAAAAAACTTCTTGGTAGTTTCCCTTCTCAATGGGATTTTTACTTTTATATACTATGAACATGAGTTGCGTATGATTTTGCCAATTCCTGACATGCCCTCAAGCCATCTTTCCTACTGTGTCTGTGTAATTTATTAACCAACTATATAGTGATGGTAATGAGTTAACAACCACAAGTTCCTGAGGCTTGGTTTTACTCCAACTTTTCTGACCAAAATGCAAGTTTACACTCTTCCTTCTGTTCCACATTATCACAGTAAACCTGAATAAAAGTTGCTAGCAATATCCATACCACTGCCTGAATACCGGGCTGCCTTGACATTTCCTCCACTAGATTATTTAGTACAACACCTCTAAATTTAGCCACACAAATGTGACAGGAAATGTGTACAATGTAGATAATATCTTTGATAGAATATAACATAAATGTCCTCTAGTCACATTTCTAATAGAGTCTTCCTTTTTCTCTGCAGCCTCATGAACACAGACTTTCCTATCAACATTTTGGTCTTCAGAGCTTCCACCAGAATCACATGATAATCTTCCTTTACAATGTTCAAAACTTATCCAGCTTACATCTCTAAACTATTCAAAATATCTACCCCAAATATCAAAGTCTCCACAAGTTCCTGAACCACAGAGACACTGCAAGCAACTCGCCTGTTGGTACCTATTTCTGTTCTACTCAGCTTTCTTGTCTCTATGAGAAAAGAGATGACAAGAATAATTAGAGGAGGAAAAGTTTATTTCCCATAGTTTCAGTGGTAGTCCATAGTCAGCTATGTTCATAACTCCAGGGCCAAGATGAAGCAAAACATCATGTCAGAAGAGTGTGGTGGAAGAAAGCAGCTCAGGCATGGCCATTGGGAAGCAGAGAGGGAACAACTCACCAGGCACAAAATATAAATAAATCCCAAAGGCATGTTCTCACAGACCCACTTCTTCTAGCCAACCCATTCCTGCCTAAACTTATCTCACATTTAATCATGAGTGCATTAAGGAACTGCTTCATGTAAGGCTCCTATAACCCTATCATTTCACCTCAAAACTTTCTTGCATTGTCTCACACACCAGCCTCTGGGGGACACCTCCTATTTAAAACTAACATTTTATAGTGTCCTGTTCAAATATGACACAAAGATCCCGTGGAACCCAGGCTGAGAGCAATGATAATGGTCTCTGGAGTGGAACTTTGGAGGCTAGACTAATGAAAAATGTTTGGATAAACTGTGTTTCATTTTGCAATTGTTGTTTTGGTTTTAGTTTTTGCTGGATTCCCATGTCTTACATATTTATTTATATTAGTAGCATAAGATACTCTGTATTTTGACATACAAATTAAGTGTCTTTTATGGTCAAATAGAACTAAAATATCTTGCATTTCTAAATATGTTACATATAGATATTAAGCTTCAAATATACTACACTTCTGTTGTGTATGTATCATTCTTTATGATGTAGGACTTTCTGAAGATAGGACCAAGATGTATTTAACATTGTGACATTCTCTTTTCACACTTCTCACAAGACTTACAACTTTAATATTTGTTTATTATATTCAGAGTTAATAATATTTCAGTTATTGCCAACTTCATTTTACTTTGATTCTAAATGTTTTAAAATCTTATGAAGTATTAACAATCTATATGTTTTCTAATTAATTTGTGGAAATCAAATGTGCCATTTATTCCAAATTGTACTGACGACACTAAATTAGATTTGGCCTGAGGATGCCTTCATACTTGAGTCCTTGGTAACAAACTAAAATACAATTTAGTAGTTAAACTGACAGCCTAGTTTCTTGAAAGGAATAGCTAAGACTCAGGCAATTACAATAGCTGAGCTTGTCCATTGCAGAGTTGTAATGAACTAAGCTGTCTCTGTAACCAGTGAAGTTTTTCTGTGCCTCACTTCAGTTCATGAATATTGTCACATGGTACTGCCCAAATTAGTTCCTTGGACATATTCTGATTCTGAGGGCTGCCAGGTAAGCCATTCATCCTAGTATTGTTTTTTGATTTATGTTTTTCCCCTTGCTCAGATAAATACTACTAAATTTAACTTATCTAAGGGTTTTTCCTTTAAATATTATGGGATAAAACTAAGAGTTTATAAATCTTTAATTATGAGGGTGTGGTTTATGTTTATAACCTATTTCTACCTTTTTAAGACATACAGATTGGACACGTGGGCCAGGCACAGAACAACCCTCTGGGTAGGTCCCAGGTTTGCTATGGGGACCTTCCCCTGCTCAATCACACGCCCATAGGGCGCCCTCTGGTGGCCACGCCACTCTAGTAGTTAGGATCCCGCTCTCATGATGTCCCAGCTCACCATTGCCTCAGGGACATACAGGCTACCAAGGAAGGACTCAAACTTTGGACTCTCCTGGAAGGTTGGTTGGACAGCTGCGGTGGCAGCTATTGGTTGGAGAGGTCAGAGTATAGGAGCGTGCTCACAGCAGTCTATTCCGCCCAGTGGCGGACCTGCTCACCCAGGTGACAATCTGCCGCCCTCCTCCCCAGACCGCAGGGTTGCCCTCCTTACTTTGGTAACCCAAGGATCCTGAAGGGCAGAAGCCAGCGCATGCCACCTGAGGATGCTGCAGACCCCACCCAGGCCAACTGGCGTGATCCCTGCCGCTCAGCTTGGCAGTGGACTTCGTGGCTTGCATCTCCTGGGAGCCCACCACCCCTCCTCAGGCACCGATAAGAGCTTGCTGCTGAGAGCTACAGATAGAGAAGGATCCAATCAGCACTGGAAA